GTGGCACGGTAGCCAACATCCGTCAAAACTTCAGAAGTGGTCATCAATTAAAGATGCTCATCAGCCAAAGATGAGAGTCTTTCAAATCCGAGTCATTAGTTTGTCATGCTTATTTTGGGCAATATTTAGGCTCGCGACAAGGGGCACTATTTTGGACACTATTTTCTGCCACTCCTTGTATTTAGCCATCTTCACCCCCTGTGTAATTATTCAGCTCAAAGTGAGACGATTTGTTTTGGATTACGCGGTATAAGCTTAGAATCTGCCCTGAATCCACTCCGTGGACTCCTCATATTCCCCCCATATTAATTGTTGAGGTGTATGGTCTTTTAAGACTTTATATCTGCTCCCTACATGTTATTGCTACTAAAACCAGTTTTCTTACTAATTCTAGTGGCCTAAATATGCACTGAATTCCCAACACGTTGAAAACGCTGTTTGTCAGCTGTTTTGGAGCTCTCTATCGATCTGTAGTAGAATATTCATTCTTCTTCTGCGGTTATCTTCCGCTACTGTAGTAACCCCTTATGGGACGAATGTTTGAGCGCCGTTAGTAGCAGCGTTGTTCCGAGTAGAGAAGGTTACTTTCAATAATCTTCAACCTAAAGTAAGTTGCGATGTTTAGGGGACTCCACATGGTGTATCCTTCGTCAAAATCTTTTTCTTGAAATCGTCATACCCGTATTTATACTAGTTTCCATAGTTTAAGTTTGTTGCGAACTGTGGTTACTACAACTCAGCCTCAATGAATCTTCGTCGTGCTTAGAACAAATGGTCCGTCTTTGTTCCCACCGGTACCCGGCCGTTTGTCTTCCTGTATATAGGAATCTGAATGCACTACAAATACTCTGATCGGTTGGGATTGGTTCTCCCATGTTTCCTTGATGCGCATCTACTTAGCACTTTAAAGAGTGTAGATTTGTTGAGGAGCGGAGATGGGTGCAGTTGGCCCGAATCTAGCTCAAACCACTTCTACGGCTTTTTAATGTTTTCCCCTCGTGGTTTCTGAACTACAGTCGCCAAACCTTGCGTGTGTTCCTGATTGCATGTTGGCGTGCTTAGTCCATTTTTGGGACGGGATGTCGTTAACCCAGATACGTGCCACTGGTGTGTTAGTTTTATGCCGTTACCATTGTGGTCTTTGGTTAGGTTCTCTTCATCTATTTATCATAGCAATTGCTCAGGTGGTTGTCAGTGCGCTGCCTACGGTCCGTTTCGGTTCCTTTCCGTAGGTTCCACACAACACACCTTGGTTGTTAGTGTGTGCATCACTACGCATGACTTTCGGCTGCAAATACGCCCGTAAAAATAGTTGATCTAGCTGTTCCCTGCCAAAAGGCGAATTTCAACCGGCAAGCGGGTTTTGAATGAAGTTTCTCCATTGTACCTTACTTCTTCAACCCATTTTCCCCTTTTCCTCATTGTCGCTACTCCCTTCCTTGGACTTTATTTGTTGACCCTAAGGAACCTTTTTTGAAGTTTTAATGAGCTCTTTGGTGACATAGTTATTATTTACACGACTTCAATTAATTCATGGATAGCTTATTCTTTTAGAGTTAGAGACCGCTCAGCGGTTGAGTCGCTAGCTACTGACCAATTGGTTCATGGTCCAGTTCTTCCCTAAATTTCGTTAGTTCTTGTCTCGACTTCGGCCGTGTAACTCTTTCTCAGTTGTCGCGCATCTTTTCGGTTGCTTTTCTCAGCCGGATAACTTTTGATGACTTTTTATCTCTCCTTTTTTTGCCATCCTCTTTAAAGACAATAAGTTTGATGCATCTTACTACTACATGGTGAAATGGCACAACTTCACCTCGTGTGTGTCGCTTGAAAAGCCAAACTTATTCTTCCCCCTGTTCAGGAATTTCTCACATCAGCCACCCAGTTATAGACAAGTGTACCACGCGGTAGACCGATAGTTCAGCGTTCCTTTTTGTTTGTGGTAGTTTAAAGTGCACCCGTCGTCTGATGTGTACTTCAGACGAACTTAGCACAAGGTCTCGTGCTTTTGGTCGGTTTGAGTGACAGTCTGGCTATGGGAACGATGTTTCTAGTCTGATAGGCACAGGATTTTTTTGCTCTCCCTGTCACACACGAACCAGTGGTTCTGTCTCCTGAAATCAAGTTCTACTGCTTCCAGGAGAAAATTGTAGTGCAAAGGAGTGATTTATTTACTGATTGCGGTCTTTCCTTCTTTGAGCATACAGCGTTTTACAAACACTGTCAAGTTTGAAGAGGTTAGCCTTTACGGCATCACTGTGCTACAACGATCCTCAATGTTATGACTTTCCCTCAAATGGCTGTGTTACTGTGAATGGCGCGAGTGCTTTAGGGAAAACCACCCAACGTGGCTTTTCCCTTCATTAAACGACTACATCTATGATAGCCAAATTCAACTTACTTCTTAGATTTCGTATTAGACTGGGAGTACCATACCTGCTTTCAAGCAATAAGCCCATTTCGCAAACCCGGTATTTTATTTTGAGCACCTGTTCTCCCATTTTAGATAACAGTTGGACTTGGGTGAGTGTTAAACTCAATATCTGCCGTCTAATAATAGCAGCGGGCCCACATGGCGAAAATAAGTTTACTCATAACATCTTTTCTCACCGTTAAATAGTTGAATGGTGCTGGCTTTCCTTCCGTTTCTGTTCATGCTCGTTCGAATTACCGGGGCTATAAACTTCATGTTCAGCCTGTGGAAATCAGTACGTGAACTGCAGTAATTGCCGCGGAAGTTTTCGTGTATATGCAACCTTTCCCCATCATCTCTATACAGCAGCAACGGATGACATCGGTGTTGGAAACACTAGTCTCTTAACATTTCGTAGTTCTGTTTAATCTCCTAATTAGCCAAACTAAACTGACCAAGGTTTTTGGTTTCCGTTAACACCGGATTTCTATCAAACACAGGGGATTCCACCTCTCCCATCTTGTCTCCTGCATCGTGAATTTACGGCACAAATAGATAAGTTACCATTAGCTGAGTATTCAGACGAGTGATTACGAATCCCCATATATTTTTATTTCTTCTTGCTTTACTTATCTGTCACGCGTTTTCAGCATTGCTGAATCATACAACAGGAACTGCTATTCTTGCGGCTCTTGAAACTTCCGATGTCAACTCTACAGGGGTTGCCGTCTATCCTTCCAACACTGAGCTCTATTTTCTGTTGCCATGGTAGTCTATAGAATCCGTTGCATAAATCGTTAAAACCCAGATGCTTACTGTTCCTCTGAAAAAGCCAGCTCTTCATAGGCTTCACTCATTTGTTCGTGTCCATAGACCGTAACTGGCCGCTTTTTTGCAGGATACTGACTTGCCAACACTTCCTCTGGTGGCTGGAGTCCTCACTGACTAATTGTTTGTAGACCTGCATGGGATTAGCAAGGGGCTTCATCACCAATATTGTCATGTGTATCTCTGCTTATGCTATTTGTAGCGGTTAGTAGACAGCTCCCACTGTCATTCAGAGAGGTATCACCACTCAAACCTGTAAGAGCCTTGTATAGTTCGCCAGGTGGGTGTAGGTCACTTGGCTTGTAATACGGTTTTTCATTGTTTCACTGTGTTTTGAAATTTCGTTTGCATTTGAAAGTGATCCACTTCAGCACTCTGGACATCCCGGTGCCAGAAGTGATTTCCTTTGAGTACCATACAGACCAAGCTGTTTATTGATTACCGATTGCTAGTTTTAAATATGTACCATGGACGCTTCTTATGACTAGTGCGGACCACTAGATAATGCGGCACACAGTATTCGCCTGTATTATGGGGTTTTCATCCAAACTACACCTATACTCCGAAAATAGGGGATGACCATCAAAAATAAAGTTTTCTGACCATCTTCGGATGGATGTTCTTAGGAGAGGTCACTGGTTGTATATATTGGGACTGTTGGACCACCTTTCCCTTATTTTTACAGCTTCATACTGCACCACATTGTAACACCTCGTTTAACTAAATGTGAGCTCTTTACAGCCCTGCGTTTCACATGCACAATGCTCAGGTGCTTCTGTACGCGACTGGCCACAAGCTCTTCCGGTCGTTGACTTGTTCGCTGAGATACCAACATTCTCTTCCTTAGAAGCGAAGTACTCCAGAAAAGCGTATTAGTCCACTCACACACACTCACGGGACGTACTTAGCTGTACGAGTCCAAAGGTACCTCTTCTAATAAACCATGGGTTATTCATTGAAAGATTGCCATGTCCGAATTCAACAAAACTTCGAAATGTTTTAGTCGATGGCTCATCTTTCGAACAAGGGACATTTGTTATTAGGTTAGAAACCAAAGTGATCAATCTCTGAAACTGGACTCCCTAGGGGGGAATTCTCTGTTTGTATTCAGGTGGACGCCATCTAAGGACACTTGTCGTATTGGTTTTGCGATTACCGTCCGAATTACTTCAACCAGAGCACAAAATCATCTGGCTCATGTTTGCTTATTTGGCTGACTGGGCGTTTCCGGTTGACAGGAAACGTTTTTCTAGTGGAGGCTAGGAGATCATTTATGGTCATGCATTCGCTCGAAACCAACTGGAATCGTGTTGTAGGTTTTTGCGAGCTCCAGTTTAGCGGTAAGTGTAGTAAATCTTTTCATCTGAGTGGGTATGTAATTTACAAATGAATGTCCAGGAAATAGCGAAGGGACTGATCACGACCTGTGACGTGAATATAGTACATTCAATGCCCAAGAGGAACGTGTATTCGTAACTGACCTATTTTGTCGTACTTGAGCAGCGTCGATGGACTCAGCATTGCAGCTATGCAGAATGGGTGAAATTAGTTGCGTTCCCCTCTCACAAGAAGCAGCATGTATTGAGTATGCCCCAAACGAAGTCTAGCTAGAATGGACTTGCCTCTACTTTTGCGCTTTCAACATTCCCGAACGCGAAGTATTTCGGTTTGCCGCTCAATTTTCTAGACCGTTGACCTAAGCTTGATGTGTACCTGGAATCAAGGATTATTCATCCTTCGCTTTTTTGTTTACTTGCAACAGCTCGACGTTCGGAGCATCTCGAAGGCCATCAGCTATCTGAATGATAAATTGGACACTGTGACAAGCCTCACAGAACCAAGAGAGAACGCATTCCTTCATTATCAAGATTGCATGATGACGCGCGGTCTCCGTCGAGGACAGCGGCAAAGGAATGCTTTAACCAGCTCCACGTCCCAACCACCAACCACGCAACCAATGCTACAAATCTCCGATCGGGTTCCCAACACAACAAGCGAGTTATGCGCACTGTCAAGTTCGCCCGTTCTCAGACAGAACACAGACACCAGTTCGAATTCCACTGGTTCCAATCTAATCGACATCGCTCGCTGCCTTGCTGCTTTCGGTCGGATTCTGGTCAGCACTACTTATCCTGCTCTATGCACAGCCCGTTTACCTTCGCAGCTGGTAACCTACTTGATAGCAAAAGTGAGCGCGTTTTCTGTTTCCATGTACTTTTAGTTTCAATAGATTGTCAGTTGTTCTTCCGATTCACCTCACTGAGCTCTTGTCGAGCAGAACAGTTTTTGTCTCTCTTCAAAAGTCAGCCGTCAAATTCGTTCGCGCATGCATGTGCGCATCCGACTGATATGCTCCAGTTATTTTAGTCACTATTGTTTCGTGCTGTGAGATTGGGTGGAGGAGCGTTGTAGAGGTTGGTTACTGCTATATCCGGTTGGTATCTGCCATATCCATCCCTAATTTCATAATGATGTTTGAGTTGGTTCGCACGCGTCCTTGTGTTCATGGAATTTTGGCACGTGTTCAGTTAATCTGTGATCGATCAGATCCCAGTTCATTTTCGGTAAATCTCACTTGCTCTCAAACCTAACTTGCAGCCGGTGTGATTGTTCCTCGGATATAAATCTTTACCGCTCGACAAAAAGCCTTTGTGTTTTGGTTTCAATGCACGAGAATTGAGTGCATCCGTTTTGGGCTACGCGGAACTTTGCCCATCCTTTCAGTATGGAGAATCCAAGGATGATCAAGGATGCCATAAAGGCTGTTTACCTCAGTGTTCCGCGCGGTTAGTGTTCCCAGTTATTCTGCTCGCATGCTCATTCGGGTCGGTGAATGTTAAAAGTCAATCAACCAGTCATTTAGGTAACTGGAAACAATTTACCAGGACTACTTCGGCTCCAGTTGCTCGAAACGACTCAATGTTTAAGGTGCGAACTTACTGACCGGAATATCCGTGCTTCGAACCCAACCTCAGCATCTCAACTGTTCCCGTTCAGGCTTATATAACCTGGTACTATCTTATCCCTCATGTTTCCTTCGGGTAGCGTGGCAGCTGGACACGGAAGAGGTGGTGCGACTGAGATAATGAGACGAACGGTGGAAGGTCTTCGAAACCACCGTGTTCAGATAGCCCCTGACGAAAACCTTGTCGATTTGGAATACGCAGACGATATCGTTCTCGTCTTTGAAGAGGAGAAAAAGGCTTAGGTGTTTTTGGATGAACTGACCCGTCGTTTGGTATACACTCACAAAGTGTGGGATCGTGCTCGTGGACGTGCAGTCACTGAGCACGACACTTACAATCCAGCGGGAGGCACTCGAATTTTACTGTATCTTGGAAGTTGTATTAGTTCTGACTATAGTGTGACAGATGAGGTCAATGCAAGGCTGGGTTCGCGTTTGTTAATTTGGGACATCTATGACGTTAAAGTGGTATATCCCCGAATCTCAAGGGACGTGTGTATCAGGCTACAATGTGGGCTGTTGTCTTATATGTCTGTGAGATTTCCCGTGTTCGAGCTGCAGAACTGAGACGTCTTCAGGTGTTCGGCAATCGTTTTTCCAAGACCATAGCTCGTTTGGGTTGGTGTCGGCGAAACCGTGACGAGGCAATTAGAGGGTGAGTTTTCTATTGTGCAACGGGAACTTCGACTGAAGAATGCGTCCAGCACCAAAAGCTGCGTTGGTTGGGACATGGGTTGCGCATGCCGGACCATCATTCACCGAAGACAGCACTGTTTTCCTTCCCCACTTCAGAGAGAGGTGGCCAACCACTGACCTGGTAGAGGGGAATGAAATGGATTGCGAGACATCTGGGTTCTGTCGGTGCTACTTGCCTACCAGGATGGGGACCGCGTTATTCCCACTGCGCTTGGTTGGAGATGCTGTAAGATATGGCTACTAATCGATGTCAGTGAAGTTCGTGTTGTCAATTCCTATCCTGATTGCCTGAATGAACTGGAGGTGTAAGCACCTCGGAATTATTGTAGTCCCTTCCCTGTCCACCTTTATTCTTTTCTTCACAATGGGGCTTTCAGATACATCATGGTTGTACAGCAGCGAAGCATCGGTGTCGAACACTGATATCATGCTGTCTATGATGATGATGATAATGATGCGACTGAACGATTATTATTGAGTATCAGGCCATGCAGTGAAAAAACGTCATTCAGGTTCATCTGATGTCAGATGAACTGCTGATCGATTAGTACAGACTGAAAATATAGCTGGACTGCCCACACAAGAAAAATATTTCAGGATTCCGTGATGTCCTCTTAACAGGAATTTATTACTGGCCTGTCATTTACTGGGGTGAGATGACTGGGTGATTAGAACCCAAATATACTGACCGGAAGGTCTGGTTCGAACCCGACGTCTGCCTCCCAACTTTCCCTGTCTAGGCTTCGGCAACCTGGCAGTATCCCAGCCCTCGTGCTTCTTTCTGGTGGCATAGCAGTTGGGCATCGAAAGGGTGCCACGGCTGAACGATTACTGGGTCACCGACCGAGGCTTCGTGCAAACCACTTTTAACTGTCGGACATGAACACCACAAGGATACGATAATTCAGTTGCATTCAGAATGCGGTTCGTTTGTCTCTCGTGTCTCGCGGCTAACGATGTGCACTTGTGATCTCCCATAAAAAGTTTGGAACCCTAGTTTACTGTTATCTCACTTTGTCCGTAAGCTAACCAGGATAATCAGGTTAGAACAAGCGAGGATCGCTCAAATGGAAGTGATGCGTCCACATGTGTAATAACGTCAGCGACCATTTTTGCACTGGTTACACACTGCTTTGTCCTGTTTTCAATGCTTATGTTACTTCCTGTCTCATTTGTAGGCTTTCTCTTATGGTTTTCCACCGCCATATTCTACCAAGGTTTTCTCTACGGTGATAGGGTCAAGGTCGTTTGCTGTACCTGTCGTGAAGATGACATATTTTTGCAACACATTCTACGTAAACTGGCTTACGAATTGGACAGTGACAGACCTACTCACCAGCTAGTAGAATATGGGTCCGGAGTTAATTTGTTGTTAACGAGAGACTGCACTGAATCTCATTTGCAATTCTCATTCAACTGACTGCTGCACAAGCACCGCCTCATGTTTCAGCTCGTACGGTATTCGAGACATCTCAGTATACTTTCTCGAGGGAACACACTACTCACAAGGTTGCTGGGAGCTTTCGCAGCCCGCTATTGGTTTCATCATAATCAGGGCTCACCAGGCAAACGTAATCCATAGTTTACTTCAGCTTCGTGCTGCTTACAGAGCGAACTGTACAAATTTGGTAAAATACAATCAGTTGCAAACGAAGTTAGTGTTGCTGATGAATATCGTAAACGAGAGGCTCAAACGGGATTCATTTGGAACCTACAGCTTAATTTGCAAATGATTGTATTTCGACCGTTGCATACGATTTAGTGTCAAGATGAGCAAGTTTGTCGGAACCTCGGCGACTGCGCCTCCCTGATGACCTGGGAGAAGGGCGGTATCGGTCGTGGGTTGTCGAAGTTTTCAGCAACCTCATGATTGTTTTGTAACGCTAGTGAGTCAATACCGTTTCTATGGTTCTCAAATACGTCCACTGGTTTCGGATAAGTTACCACACAAGGATTGATTGACGTCCAGCAAATCACCTCTACACGTGTATCATGCGTTGAAATGCCTTCGAACAGGATGTCTCTAGTTAACACGTGACAATTAGGTAAGAGTTTAAGGGGTCCAGGAAACAGAATATCGTTCTTGATGGGACGCTACCGGAAGGTTGCTGAAAGCTCCCTGACAGCTAAGACCGGTTTCACTCTCTTCTTGAGGACCTTCATGTAGCCGCTTGACCCACTTGAACCCAAATCGGACGCGATTTGCGAATTGCACACCACAGGACATAGAGTAAGAACTTCCATAATACGATTCTCCGAAGTTGAGAGGTGTCTGAATCCCGTATAAAAAAGAACAAAGGTTCGGCAAGATTGGTTGTGACACAAAGTAGTGTTTGCAAATACAGAAAGAAACCGAAGAATATGGTAGAGCATATCAAAACGCCTATTTACCTTAAGTCGAAAGCCACATTGGCACACCCGAGTATGCTTAGTTCATGAGAGCAGTGAGCTGGCCGTCTCCGGGGTTGAGCAACCTCAGGTAAACCATCCGTTTTGTGAATAATGTTGGAGCATTACTAGTGTTGCAGTATTTGTTCCAAAGACAGCCTAACAACTCCCCATTATTTTGTTAGCTACCTATGCTACCATAGTTTGCAATGTTTTCTTGAAAACCTGCCGAAAAAATCCCTCCCCTATTCAAGGTATTGCTTCGGTGGCACAGAGTGGACTCTTTTGTGCAGATCCTAGTAGCCTTGTTCTCTTCATCAAGACTCTTAGCAGTTTCGTCAGACCTCATAGAGTGTGAGTGTACGACGACTCTTAGCATCGTTAAAGCCGTTCCCACTACTTTCTCCCTTTTCTAACTGTTTTCAAATGGTCTGCGTTATTTCTGTATTTTCCTAATGATTTTATCTCTAACAATTCCAATTGGCCATTTGATTGACTTCATAAAATGGATAGGTTGCGCATTGATTACGACACTCAAGGTTACTTACTCTCCATAATTGTATAAAAGATCCTACGTCTGTGTTTGTTGCAGTTGGTCACGAAACTCCAAGCATTCATGTCTTGCCCTCCTCAACATTTCTCGCCCATTTTTGGATCATTGTGTTAGTGCACGGTCCAACGATCCATGGTCGAATTATTTTTGGTCACACATGGTGCACAATGTCGGCTAGAAGGATTCGGTGTTAACTGAAGGAACGCCAAAAGTAGTGTCCTTAGAACAGTTGTGACTGTGTTCATACATTCAGCTTGACAAAGCTTACTGTTTAGGACTCCGTTTAGCTAACTAATGCGTTCGTTCTCAGTTAGATGAGACTCGGTGATGCCGAAATCTTCATGTATTGTACGATGCCAAGTGCATGTTCAAAGTGTTTGTGTGTCGGATCGTGCAACACCTACAAAGTTTCGACAGGAATTAGCCTCCCTTGTGAATGAGTGTCCTCATTTTTTCAATGGCGGATGACCTGTCCAAAGCACATTCTTCTATCCACATCTCTCCAATCTATGCTTCAGCGTAGCGGTCGATTTTTTGTGAACTATAGCAACGCGTTTGTAGCAAGGTACGTATCAAGACGACCGCTCAAAAGGCCATATGAGCTATGTGATTCCCACATACAACCCGAATGCTTCCAGCGTCCTCAGCTTTGAGAGCACGCATCGAACTGATTTTCCGTTGCTACCATCTTAGGACTACAGTATTATCCGTAGATAAAACACGGTATGTTGTAGCAGGGGGGTGGTCGTAGTTTCGAAAGCATACAGTAGAATCAACCTATCTCCCGTGAATTCCGCTTATATAACTCTGCAGTTATAGTGGAATGGTGAGAGGATGTATTTTATCCACAGCTGAAAAATGTTTAGTCAATGGGAATCTTTTGGAAAACAGTAGCTCCCCAGTAATGACGACTGGTTCGACCTGTTTCATGTGTCAAGTAGATGGCCAGCGAGTCATTTATTTTTTGCGAAGATTCGTTTATGGTTGTTTTCACTTCAAAGTGTTCTCCTTTTCTTGAAACAACACAACACCAATAAGGTTGCTAAAAAATCCAATCCTTCCTTGGAGCCTGTTGTATCTGTCATTCGTATTTCTCACTTTAACATTAAATGGTACGTGTGGTGCGATGAATTTTTATTTTCAACTCAACTAGGTGTTAATACTTTTCAGTTGGGTGCCTCTTTAACAGCAATTTAATTTGTCATTGTGGAATCTTCATGAACTCGTTTGAAATATAACTGATATATTGGTTGCTGATAGCACAGAAAACGCTAGTTTGTTTAACGAATTTGACTACCTAAGCGGAAACTGTGCGACTCACATCGTTATCCGCTGTTCTCTGTCATTCGCTGTCTGGCGGAGCTATGAGATTGGCCGGCCCTATTTTCCCCTTTCTCCAAAAGAGCTTGAGCTACAGTATAACGTTAAGCAAGGATTTCTCGATAGATCGAATTTATTATGTTAGTGAGGGCAATTCATCAGCAAGGGAACTAGCTCCCACCTCCTGATTTGGTACGTTTATGGAATGCATAGTCGGAGTCTAAACTGTGTGAAACTATCCCAAGTTTTTTCCACCGGTGTACTACCAAAATAATTGAGTTATTGAGGCGAAACTTTCTTGATAATCAGTTTAGAAGTGAATTTGTCAGCTCATGTTCCAGCAAAATCTGACTTCATTAAATTTGTTTGATTTGAGTATATGCCTACGGCATCAAGCAACCTCGATCGGCATTCGGGGAATAGGATTTGATGGAATACTTTGCGACTATTGCTTCTCTGTTTAAGATCCCGTAAAGTGTCTTCTGTTCTTCTGTCCTCAACTGGCCTGTTAAGCTGCTATTTTTTGAGTTTAACCAATCTCCTTCGACGAGTCATGGCCCCATCTAAATGCGTCCATACAACAAGCCGTCAAGCGGATTCTTGGATTTACAATATGACTCCACAAGATCTGGGTGTCAGAAAGGGCCGTCTATCTCTCTAAGAAAGCTGACAAGCTGCTTACGGCCATCCCCTCCAATTTTTGCAGCTTATTCCACCAGACCATCCACTCAACCCAAAAATATCATGCGGATTACTGATCAGAAGTGGCTTCAAGTGTGGAGACAGATGTGACTATCCACATTTTTTCCGACTGACCCACTACAAGTTTAAGCAACTAACCCACTCGTGGTTTACTGGCTTCCGTGCGCCATCTGATTCAGTCTATCTTGAAATCTGATAATGTACTCGATGAGCTGCTGAATCTGTTCAGTCTACTTCCCAGGCACAATAGCCTGCTTCAGGGTATATGGGATTGCTGTGAACTCCAGTGTTCGTAAGGCTGTCCACCACCACTTTCAGCAACACCTCTGGAGTACCAGTAAGCCCTACTAAATGGCTCACATGCCTTGATTCCGCTGGCGCGATCGTCGTCTTGAGTAAAGGTGCGACAGAAACCCCCCCTATCGTTGACCTCATTGGCACTAGTTGTCGCTGATTAAACTTGAAATAAATTTTGAAAAGTACAAAACTATTCACCACAAGTACGGAAATCCAGTATAGCCCGCTTATTGTTAATTAACAGAAGGTTCATGATCCAAGTCGATTGTTCTAAATATTTGAACTCTACCATCCTCCCAAATGCGCAATTGCAACAAAGAATAAGCGTTCGCATCGACAGCGCCGGGAAGACTTTTATATGGCTTCATACCACTTCATGGAGACGCTAAGAAACCAACTTTCGAACAAAGCTCCGTGTGTACACTGCGACCGTGGACACTTCCTCTACAAACCCTACTCCGAACTGTCCAAACTATGTGTTGTAACTGTCCTGCTCATAATGGTGCTGTCGTACCAGGACACAATTGGAAACCTAGCCCTCAACAGTCAGGGCTGACGTACTGCTGGCCCTTCAGTTGGTCCACTGGATCAAGCAGTGGAACAGGAGCTGGGTGACGCTGTGTTTTCGACTATGTTTCATGAGCAACAACGACCGGGGATATTTTCGGAGCCGACTTATTATCCTACAGAAGCGTCGCCTTGTAGTAAAAGTAAATAAGTCACTTCAGTGTGCACTTAGATAGTTCAGGTCTTCCTCGACGGGAAGCTGTCTTGTATCCCTTCAAATAAGCGCCCTTTTATATGTTCAACCCGGTTACGTCTCAACTTTTTCGGGATGAACTTTGATTTCGTCGCACTTGATGCTACCAACAAGACTCCGTGAAGAGACATCTGTTGTGTGCGCTTTCGGGTCTTTGACTGCTGTGGAATGTATCTTGACTCACAGCTCTTAGACTTCATCGTTAAGACATTACTGGTGTCGTGATTCTTACCCAAATCACGGCTGACAATTAACGGCATTTCGGAGGCATATACCCATTCATATCCTTTCATAAAACAAGCTAACCAAAGAAATCGATGCCATAACTTCTCTCTTGGGAAAAGAATATTTTATTGTAACACCCTGTTAAGCAATTTCCCCTTCCAGGCTAGACAATATGCGGAACCACAACATATGCCTCTATTTCTTCGAAGTGCTTCTTTTCGGTCCTCTGCGTTTCGCCTCATTTCGCATCATTTGCCTATCCCTCGTTTGCAACCTAGCGTAGTTGCATCCTGCCGTTCAGTTAGGTGAACGCATGTCTTCGACACACTTTTTCACATTTATCACCTGACCTTTTGTGTTTTTGTTACGCAAAATATGGTAGATGATTCTTTTGATGTACATTTCAATGACATTTCGATCGGAACTCACTAACCAGCAATATCAATGGTGCGTGCAAATTTGGTGTTTGGCCTATAGCGAGGACTGCACATCGTCGACCTTGCAACATCCTGTTTGAAGCGGATTAGGAAGGCGGACATAGTAACAAAAGTCGCATCCAGACGTCAGAAATATGGGATTAAGAGATAAACAGACCGAATAAGCTTAGGGGAATATATGGGCAGAAGAAGCTGGTTGGGTTGGTGAGCTGCCTGCAACGGTCAAGATAGCCACACTTCGCTTCACAGATCAAGGAGTTTGACTGGCCATACGAACACTTGCTGCAAGGGGAATAAGGAGAGATCTTGCTAGTGCGCTATTATTCTGGGCGCTTTTTTTTCAGCCAAAAGCTACAAGATTCTGGTCATGGAAATTAGCGAACAAACAAATTTGGTTTTGTGAGAGACTCACCTGGAATCCAGCTGAATCCCTCGTTTGTGATGTTTCCAGGCAGCTAAATGTGCTGCACCAGGCCCCCTCATGTTTCAGTCGCTAAGATATTTGAGATATCGCGATATCGTAATGCACTACTCATAAGGTTGCTGTATTTCGCTGATTTCGCGCAATTTGGCTTCAAGTAGAACATAGGGTCGACAGAAACTCGGGAACTGTGCCTACCTGATGAGCCCCAAAAAGGGAGAAACCGGTTGTGGGCTGTGAAGTAATTCTGTTTATGGCTGTTCTCACGATACGGTTGTTGACGTTGATCAACCACTTGGGTGTCACCCTGGAGCAGCTGAAATATCTCCATTCAGATCTACAGGTATACAGCATAGCTGGGTTGACAAACGCAGGCACTAGACCTTTGCCCACCATGTGTGAATATGCAGTGTCGGGTACTCGCGCTTTCTTGTCAACAGGGGTAAACTGAACTACGTTGTAGGCGCGGCTTATGGTCTCAGTTAGCCGGTGCCTACTTAGGTGCGAAACGTTATCGTCCTCGAACTGTAGGATGAGGACACCCAGTTTACGTCGGGCACTCAAAACGACGGACGTTGTTGATCTAGTATTGAGGATGTTTCTGAACGAACCGTTCCAGTTAACCACTGGAAACTCAGTTTGTGACACAAATCTTCTATGTCCCATACAACAGTGTCCGAAGACGTTGTTTGGCACATTCGGTTTGACAAGGCCTTCAGCAGACCTCATTTGTGTCGCATAAACACAGAACTTGGGGACGTACCTATCGTCCAGTCCAAGTTGATCTACTGAATGTGCTTCTCAAAACGACGTGTTTTGTGATCTTCGAACGCCAACGGATGCACCGTTTTTTCAAATGGATCAGTGGCTTCGCCTTTTGTCATCTTCAATTTTCTTCATATGTTGTCTTCAGCCCTCGGTGTTTCATTTGGCATTGGTCCGTTTGACTTTCCAATCAACGCAAACTTTGAAGCGACGCAAAACCAGTATTCCATGTTTTATATCTTTTCCCCTACTGACTGGTATGCAATACAACCGTGAATTGCACATTCATCTGGTGTCCAAATTAGGAAGGTTTACGAACATATCGACAGCTATCCATACAATTTCGAGCTGCCAATATTCCTTTCCATAGTAGAGAGTATAACTGCCAACAGAACTGGACATTATTAGGCACATAGGTTTTCTTCCTTTGTGTATTTCCTAACTCTCAGTTTTCCGAAATTACACCTCATCGAAGCTCCGTATTTTTAGGCAAGCATCCAAGCCGTCGACTATTATGGTCGGCCTCAGTCTACGGGAGGGACTGATCCGATCGATGTCGTCCTCACCGACCCAGAGGGCCGATCCGTACCAACTGAGTTGTTCGATATGGGTGATGGCAGCTATGAATTGCTCATCCGTCCTGTCACTGCGGGACTGCACCAACTGTCCGTGCATATTCTCAGCCGCCCTATTAGAGGGTCTCCTTTTCAACTATCCGTACGACGAGCACAGCAGCGAAGCTGGTGCTTCACCGAAGGTGAGCGGTCCTTGTTCCGCTATTCCTCTGTTTAGTTTTTACCATTCGGTTTGCTACTTTCGTAACACGCTGTCATTCCTCCTATTTCTATATTGGACTTAGTCCGACGGCCCGTTGCAAATGTTTACCTTCAAACATTGCATCTTTACTGAAAGTAAAGCACCCAACTATTTAGCTGGTTGGCTAAGAGTGGCTAATGCAGCCCAACGCACCTGTGGTCGAGTACCAGGCTTATTGGAGCACAATGGATGCCTGAATTTCGCAAGTCTGATTGCGTACAAGATAGTTGCTCTTAAAGGAGACTACCATGGGATGGGGTTAGTTGCCGACCCCCAGAAAGGCTATGCGAAGATACCAAGCTCCACGTCCTCTCTGAATGGCAGCGAATTTTCTTCTGAAAAGTCTTTCTTGAAGAATTGGGATAAGTTGTGTATAGTTTCTCTCCATTTTGCTGATCAGCTCCTTTTTGTAGTGAACTTTTATAAGATAGGTAGATTGTCAACATAGGAACATTGTGGACTTTGATAATAGCATTGCAAGTTCTACCTCATAATTCCCCTGATGCAGGTTCGGATGGTCGGGGATTAATCCAACCGTTCGCGGTTGCCTACGGTCCTTATCCACGCACAAACGGCGAGTGCACTTCAGACGGCACATGCTTTATCTATCTGTTGGATACGGGTAACAGCCGGCTGCTTGTGATCAACCCGGACACAGGGGCGTTACACACCACCTTGGTTGGCGCCCCCTTGGTCGGCCAGGCCGCCACCGGGATCGCCTGGTCTCCTGAAGGTCTCTGGATTGTCAACTGGCGATCGAAGCGCGTCTACCTCCTTGATCCTTGGACAGATAAAGTTAGTAACGCTACGTTTTCTGCGTTTGTAAAAAGCCACCCGCTTTGTGATGGGCTTGTGAGTTGTCCGCCATAACGACTGAAGAGCAGTTGTCTTTGTCTTATCTCGCTTTAGAATGTTGGAGGTTTGAGTTCTTGTGTATGTGTCATGTCGGTATGTGTAGCTGAAGTAAACCAGCCAGACAATACCAACATACTGGCGTGATACCCTTGATAAGCTTCGTACCACAGTTTTCTTGTAGCGGCTAAACATCAGATCATCCTACTTGGGCCCTTCCAGGTATCCTCGAATCGTCAGTCTGTTAGTCTCGCTGGGGAATCACCGGATTAGGTGCCTAGTTGTGCGCAAGCTGATTTTCAACAAACTGCTCAGTTTTCCGGTTGAGCGAAACGTTTCCTGCTCACAATCTCTTGAGTCCAGTGACGCTCTTCTGGATTTGATCTGTCCGCCTTATGGCAGTTAATCGTTCAACTGTAGCACCATTTTTGTGCCTAGCTGCCATGCCACCCGAAGAAAGCACTGGGGCTGGGATACTAACAAGTTACCCAAGCCCAGACAGATAAATTCGGGACTTGGAGGTCGGGTTCGAACCACGGACCTTCCGGTCGGTAAATTCGCGCTCTAGCCACTTGAGCTATCTCGCCCCCTATGGCAGTTAAGTACTAGTGTTTATCACTTGTGTTTTCGGTGATGCTGATGACCCTCATGTTATGCATGGAGATCACCGCTGAATCCGAAGCACATTCTGGGGTGAATGTATGCTTTCGTGATCAGCTCCGACCAATGAATCGTAAAACTGTCGGTAGACAGCACAGCTAAAACGTCAATAAATTTTGTGTCTTTGTGGCTACCTGTTATGTGGTTAGACCGTGGAGTGTTATTGCGTGAGCTAATGATTTGGAGTGCACTGACTCGAGTTACTCAGGGATATTGTCCCAGTCTGTGTTGTGCACCGGTATTGAACTCATATCAGTGGATAGCTTGGCACTTGCTGGGTGTAATCGAATGATTAGGTGGTCAATGTGTTTTTCGGCAAAAAACGCTCGCGCCCTTGAAAAATGGCATATCACGCATCTTACAAACCCGGCCCTACGACAGCGATTACAGTTGTGCACTTTTAGAGTGAACAGTATTTCGTTATTGAGTCGCGTGAGTATCAATTGAACCAGGCTTTATCCGTGATTCAACTCTGACAGCTAGAAGTGTTTGCGGGCATATTTGCTATACATGCCGAGTCAAGTTTAATGGGTCACTGGGGGAATGGGTTTGTTTCTTACGGTGGCCGGTTCGGGGTATTTTGGTTCGTTTGCTGTGCATTCTGAACTGAGTTTTCCCAATTATGAGTCATGCGAACGATAAATTTTGGTGATTGATCGTTGATGTGGCGTTGATGTGTCGTTGTATCGCTGAGGCAACGTCTCGTTAGCAGGGTGAATTTTCGTATTCTTTGAAAGCCTGTCGTTCAAGAGTTAATAGTCTTGCACTTGCTTTTCAAAGTCAATCCTGACACTGTTTATGCATAGCTATCGTACAAGTCTTCCCTGACAGAGAAAATCAAGAGGCTGCGAACGGATTCGAACATCATACCTATCAGTCTGTGAGGCACTGGGTAATTCCTAAGCTATCCAGGGCTGTCGAAAGGTTTTCAACAACCTTGTGAGTAGTTTCCGTTATGCGAAACTATCCAGGGTACCCTTACTTTTTTGGCACAGGCAGACTTACCTGTATGTTTATTTCTGTGATATGTTTCTTGATTTATTTTTCATCGCAGAACTCTGTCAAAGTTGAAAGGGGTTTGTGCTTTCTGTGCATTTAGCTCAGTATCACTGACTCAGGGCATATTCTATGGCTTCTTACGCCAACGGGTTCTAGAAACTTATACAGCATTTTATTCTGGTTTGCTGTGGTTTTACTGAACGGAGGTTCGTGATGTGATCGGTTGCGAGAGTCACACAAACATCAGCGACGTCCTAATCCTCGTCTAGAGGGCCCATTTCAAAGATATGTCCAAAATTAATCTCCTTTGGAAGAAAGCTTTCTATCACAATGTGTTTCGGAAGATTAACTAACAATGGGTTTTTCTGAGGCTGGTCTCTTCAATGCTAGATGACCAAACCCTTGCGTTTTTCCTGAGGTTGAATTTCTCAATCCCCTAACACCTACCCAGCTGTCAATAGCAGTATTCTGATTTACCAACTCAGATTTCATTGCCAAACTGTTGTTGTCATGTGCGCACTATAGATATGACATTTCCCCCATCTTTCTCACGTGCTAGGATTAGTCACTGGTGATCACACATGAGCAGTTGTCTGCCACGTGAATGGGTGTGGCTTATGAGTGAATATCATCCTGCTTTGGTCTGAGAAATTTTTGCAACTCATAAGCAAGTATTGATGATGGCTTCAGCAGGTGAACCCTCACCCACTGCGATTATCCATTCTAGAGAGGTCTCGCGTCGGCCGATCCTACTGAATTTGAACATTTTTATGGACTGAAATTAGCGGATTCAAGATCAATTGTTTAGGAAGTGGGCGCCCAGTTATGTGGTAGGTGCTTCAGTTGGGGAATGCGTTCAAGATTCCCGTGATAACTTGCTGACGCTGTTGAAAATATTGCTGTTCTCCACACCCAGCAATTCAACATATGAATTGCCCGGAGGGTATGCTACCAAAAACAGTAGAATAGCCGAACTGATACACTTTTCAGGATACAACTACCCAGCTGATAATCAGCAACATTCGTACGAAGTAATGAACATTTTATGTACAACTACATCGGAATGTTTGTATACGATTAGCACTAGGCTTACTCACTTCCCACATGTGCCAGAATACATGCTTAGGTTTATGTGAACATTTTTTCTGAGCATCCACGTAATTAGGGCTTGTAAACGGAGTGGATTTTAACTTCCAAACCTTTTGTTGCTGTTTGCCCACTGTTTAGATTAGTTTCTGCTAAAATAGCTGAGATTTTAGCGTATTATCTCCTGCTATCAACCAAACTATCGTGTTCTTTTCTTTATAAACACTCGCTACTTTTAGCTCTAGGGAGACTAAGCTGATAGTTCGATTTTGGTCGTTGTAACAGGTTGTACAGTCAATCCACAGTTCACTGTTCATCGAACCCACGAGCACGTGTCGGTGTCCTTTGACGGGCTCTCTGTACGTGGCTGACAATGGGGCTGGTTGCGTGTTTCTTTGCAACCCGGTCACGGGCTCTACTCGGCCGTTCGTCGGAGTGGGCGTCCAGGCTAGTTCTTCCAACGAACCCAGCCTTTCGGGATCCCTTACAACGCCTCGCACAGCAGAGCAGTCTGGTGACAGGTCTTCGCACCCTGCCTCTACACTCTTTTCCCCTGAGCCCCGAAATTTCCGCCGTATTACAGGCCTGTGTGCCACCGATAGTGGAGAACTCATCCTGTCAACTGGTTCCACGATACGGGTGAGTTCTGTTTTGCGGCTGAGTATTTCAACTCTTTCATGTGTGTGGTATTTCATGCATCAATGTCACTACGGTGAACGATCCGATTCTTTGTTCTTTTATTCACTCTGTGAATCAGTTAGAACCTCCGAGTGTTGACCATATTCATTAACTGAACACAATGTTTTTCCTGTCCAGTTAATATCGTCTTTTGGTGCGTCCACTCATTAGTTGTTGTATCCTCAACCGATTCATTTGTTGATAGTGTGAGAAATTTTTGAGATCTCCACTGTACGATGCGTTCTGTAAGTGAGTGGTACCATATTCCGCTAAATTGCTGCTCGTGGCCAACTGATTTATCCGTAAGTGTTCGAGTTCGAATGGTCGTGGTGATTGATGAGATGATGATCCATGATAAGGATGAAACAGCTGTACAATGCGTTTCGTTTTTTGGCCAGTCTGACTTAACTTACTGGGCGAATTCTTAATTTGAAATTTGTTATTGCCATGTACACGTTCCGAAGAATGACTGATCTTGGGTTGCCATATTCAGTTCTCGAAATATCACGACGTAAAGAGTGAAGCTAAAGGATAAGGAGTTGGATTTCACGGATGACCTTTGAGGTAGATCAGCTTCTGTCATCTTTCAACTTCCCAGCTTCATCATCCTTGTCATCACTGAGAGCGACGTCAGATGAAAACACTAGTACTTCACTGCCGTGTTCCCATGTCAGTTTACTTGAATAAAGCCTTACAATCGAAAGAAGGAGCTCGAGATGGTTCGGTAGTGGTAGTTACTGATCGAAAGGTCCGTGGTTCGAACCTAACCTCCGCATCTCGATCTCAGGTTCGATCGGTTATCGGCCGAGCATAGAAAGTATCACGAGTACCCCATTCTATTTGCCTCTAGTTTTCCACCACCCCGAACTATGCACAAAGAAAAACAGCACTCATCTCGACATGCGCACCACATAGCCCAGGCATTTCAGCTTGCAGTGATGCCTACATTCTTTGAGTGAATTTCGTCTGCTTTGCCAAAAGCTGGTCTCCTGATTCCCTCGTTCCGAATCTGTTGGTTCTAGCTGACTCCAGCTAGAGGCACCGGTGGTCAAAGATATGAAGACGTCTCAGGTTCTCCGCCCCTAGGTCAGGCTTCAACATGGCTTGTCTATCAAAGGCACACTGGGCATCGCTACGGTACACTAGATCCTGATATATATTTTTTATTTTAGAAATGAATCCCTCACGTGACAATGTGGCTCCTCTTCAGCTGATCACATTGCACTTCGCGGCTGGTGGGAACACCCGTTGTGCACATCTACTTGTTAGTAGTCTCAGATAGCGGCATCTATCCACAGTGTCGTATGGACAGCTCACATTTTGCGCTGGTCCTGAGAGTAGTGTCGGAGTTCACATCTGGCACTGGAACGTCATTACCTGAGTCCAAACTGAGGGATGCCTTCAAGCTTGGGAAGTCATGGGAATTCATCCTGGGATACCCATGTGGAACATAAACTCCAACGCCCCTCATTGTCCTGGGGTTAAATTAGCACATTCCGTATAGGTTGGTCCGATGCGTATCTCTGGTACTATTATTCCAATTTCTACCGATTTGCAAGGGTAACGTCGAGAGTTTCATAGCGATACTTGAGGACCATACTTCTGCAATTCTTGCCTATGAACACTCACCATTAGAGTATTCTTTCGAGCTTTCCTGTTCGTTGTTTGATCGAACCCATTGAATCTTATCTGGTGACAGCTGTCTAAATCTGTTTCAGAACTATTGTTTGGTAGATCATCGGTAGGTCCACTGGTTGATACTTCTTCATTTTTAGCACAAAGTTTTTCTTAGGACAAGATCAGCGAGCCGGGTTCAAAGCAGACAAATGAATGAATCAATGCAATCCTTCGCCACTTTTAGATGGGTTGAAGCATCAGTACCGTCTGTCGGTTGTGGCGTTTTTTGTGTCACGTGAAACATGTAAGGTACGACGGATGGACAAGCTAGTCGACTTTCCCTCGAAAATGCAAACCCATTTGGCTGGTAACTTGTCTCAACGTTGACAGCCACAAACCATCACTTGTCAACACAACTGATCCGCATCACCTGCTCTGTCTCCCTTCAATTATTGGTCTCTACGAAAACAGTGAAAACCGTTTCCCTTTGACATTTTGCTGCAACCATAAGCATGCTGGTGGACTGCTAGCTTCCCTAACTTAGACAAGCCGAGACTGATCATTTGGTTAGGAGTTGCACTAACCTCTCAGTTATATCATATTCGATTTCAGCCGACTCGGCAGCCAGTCGCTGTGGTTCTTAGTATGCCTTGGATGTGAATACACTTAATTTGAGAATGCTGACGAGGGCAGTTGGCTAATTCAAGTAACCAGTATAGTAGTCTCACATTAATTTGCTATCTAATCTAGGTCCTTTCTTTCGGTCCTCATGCAGTCCGATTGGTAGCTGGTTAACCGCCATCTCTTTTTCGCCCATGCATACTTTTCTGTTGCCATTGACAAAATGTACAAAACCGTTTGGCTTACAAAACACACGACTCAATGCTGTAACCGACCACTCTTCATTTCCACCGCTGTTCCTCTTGATCAGAACTCGTAGAGACAATGAGGCTCTTACATTTCCTTCGTCCTTTCTAAATCCAAAGGATTCCAACAGGCATTTTATCCTTCATACCGAGACTCTCTCACCCTCTGCTTGTGTCCATCGAAATGACCAGGCTGTTTTCCATAATAAAAGCAACGGGAATTGATCGAACGAAGCAACTCGTCCATCACGGGTTGTACTTGGCCTTGAGTGTGTTTGTTTCCTCCTCTCCACGGGGCGTCATCCAAACCAATTCATGCAAACATTTGTCTTGCAACTAGTTGTCTATCATTCATCGTGTGTCAGGGTGTTCCGTCAACACGTGACACGCCAACTCTCCGTGCTGGTTTGTTCAACGCGCACGGAAATGCTTGGTTTACAGGTCATGAGAATATTTTGAAGCAATGCGGTAACCTGGTTTCCTGGATAATGTTGGCTGGTCACTCTCGATCGATATTGTTGCCACGCTTCGCCAAATCCCCATCCTGCTTCACATTGCTGAAACACTCAGTCGGTGAACGGCTATCTAGATTCCTAACCTGCTTTCACCCACACTCAACTAAAAAATCGTTTAGCTGTTAAACCATTTCGATGCGTAGCTGCCATATCAACGGAAGGAGGCACGAGTGCCGGGATACTGTTAGGTTGCGCAAGCCTAGACAGGAGCAGTCCAGGTGCTTAGGTTGGGTTCGAACCACAAACCCTCCGGTTCGTAAAGTGGCACCTTAACGACTGAGCTATCTTGAGCTCCCATACCCAACTGCTGCTCTGTTGAAGGCACTGGGTGTGCAGAGAACGAGGCTCCTCTCGGTTCGTAGAAGATGCTATCGATACGGGTCGGTAACCGTAAAGTGTTGAGAGGTTTTATGCCACATTTACCTTGGTTTCGAGTACTCGATGGAGCAACAGAGGTGAAGCTGTAGCAGTTCACAATCCGTATATTCAGCGAAATCCAATGGTGCTAAACGTAGTCAGGATCACTTTTCTGTGGCCTACCTGAATCGACAACATCATTATCCCACCTCCTACTCTCTCGGTCACTCCATTAAACTACCCTTCACTCGACAAACATACCATGCTAGAAGGGTTTGGCTGTTTTCATCCCGTTCGACTCATCCGTACAATGTTTCCGGTCTCGCTGGAGGACCAACCGTACGGTAGTGTTATGGTGTTTCTGCGGTTGTATGAATGGAGGGCGCCGTTGAATTTGGTGCCCATATTGTTGTCTGAAAAAAGCGGAAGTTCCTCTAGTTCACCGATCATCGTTTTTTCCACTTTCTATCGCGATGACGCGAAAATGGAAGTACCTATAACTTAAAAACTATTCCACATGCATTTCATTAATAAATCTCATCCATTTGGAACAAGTCATAGTAGCGCACAGGTACCTCTATTTCTCTAATCTGTGGATTGATCATGCTTAGGACCCTCAGCATACTCAGACCCGCGTCGAGTTCTACTTTTTCATTTAAGATTTAAATTGAGGCAATACATGATTGCATAATGGTTTTAAATATTCAACGGCACTTTGGCTAGGTGATAGGTGGTTCCCACCTGGTGTTTTACATTTGTGATTTTTGTGTGGATGATATTTTTAGCCTGGTATAACCTATCTCCCACTTGAGGGTAAGCTAGCCAATCGTGTTCACAGACATATAGGGAATGCCTTGGAGCAGCACATTGTTGGCCACACCTGGCGAGGTCACTAGTGTAGATTCGATTGTTTACTTGACATCTGATTTCACCTGACGTTGCCAACATCCCTATGAGCTGAGCCGATTGAAGTGAAACCTTTGATTCATCTAGTTTGCGAGACGTAGATTTTTTTCTAGTGTATCAGTAAATTTGTTCGCATTGCGGTTTTGTGTACGCTACGCAATCGGGGCCTTTTATTTAGCGAATTGAGCCACCATTCACATCTATATCCACAATAAAACACGTGCCCAAGAAGTGGAGCACCCGTACTGTCGGCTTTTGGTGTTTGAAGCCATAGTGCATGTAACAAAAAGGTGAGAGTTTTCACTGCATCATACTAACTTCTACGTGGACTATTTTAGGGTGGATAGTTCGAATATTGCACTTCCAGGCGTCACGCCATGCATCCCGTGACCCATATCCGTGGACTTTTGGAGGGATTACAGTGGCTTTACGGTCTATGTTAAATGTGCTGGTGCATTTCAAGCTGTTTTCCTTTTTTATGTCATTATCTGTTCGCTGTTGATATCGTTGTCTAGTGCTTTGGTTTGCCGTAATATCTGCTGAGCTACCGAATAGATCCTGCTATCTGTTTTGCTTCTTGTCAACTATATCCTTCCGATGGCATAATTACATTTTTTTCTGGTGTTCTCTACTCGTCTTTCTCGCAGGCCCGTGTATGATTGTTGTGTTTATCGTTTTATTGTAGCTTCCTTCTGGTTTGTTGACAGTGTTGCAGTGACTGAGTGTCACAGTCAGTCGGAGGACCCAAGATTCTCCTAAATCTTGCAACCCATGCCCATGGGGCCATGCGTTCTCTCCACGCCATTAGATGCAGACGCCACTCTCCTGTCATCCTCATCATCTTCATTTACAGTAGTCCCAATTGTCTCCGATCTACTTGCGTTTTTGTTCATATGGAGTTGATCATCGACAGCGCACTTGACTGCGACAGAGCCGTGAAGAGAACATCATGATAGTTTGAAAATGATACAGACTTAGTGCAAAAAGGCCCAGTTGAGAAGCAAGGTGGTTATAGCTCCGCTTGATATTGAAATGACCACATCTGATCGGCGAGCTTGAGGGAGATATAAGACATGCTGAAACCAGAGCCTTCTAAGAATCTCACCAAACAATCACGGTGCGCAACAACAGAAAAACTAGCCTGGTTGATAAGTGGTAGCACGTATAGCCTCAACAGAAGCTTTTGGTGAATTGAGGTGCCGTACTCGTGCATGCTTGCCTACTTGTACTTTGTTATTACATGAACTATCTGTAGTCGACAAGCGATTGTTTAGCTGTTGGTAGATAATGACTTCCACTACAGCTGGTTGGTGCTTATATCGACCGGCTCAAAGTCTTATGGAACGGGACAGTTGGACGGCACAGAGTTGGTCGTCCACGACTGCCGAATTGAGTATGGGAGCGACAACACCGGTGCAACTCGCTTCACCAGTTGGAGAGTCACTCAAGGTTTGTATTCGATTTTCTTTAGATACCGATAGTATCGTAAGCAAGTTTCGCAACGGCAATGAATGTTCATCGATCAAGTGTCTAGAATATACATATGAGAAGTTGATTAGCTGACCTGCCTCAGATTTTGCAAGTTATTGAGGCAAACAGGTCTGTGTCCGATCCGAATCTCAGCGCGAAGGGGCCGACTTGAACGATGTCATGCAATTGGTGACTCTCCTAGATCCTGACTAATGTGACTGCAGCTGGGAGCTACAGAAGAACGGTTGTTAAGTGGGACAAAAGGGGAGTTATGAGTTGACAGGGGAAAGAGATGGGAGATATCAGCCGGCACCTTTCTCTCACCTGCCGGATGCAGCGATTAATACGATCCGACTGGTATCGTCACTTGACAGCTAATATGCATGCAAGTCCTTTATTTGCTTGTTCAATTTTTGTTTGCGGGTTGAGGTACTGACAAAGTATTCCATCGTAGACCGTAGGTTTATTAGATTCCTCAGTCACAGTCTTTTCTTCAGGAGCCTTACCGCAAGGAGTCGGTCATTGGTCCTCAACTTGGAAGGCCACTAAATTGTTCATCGACCACTATCCGGTGGCAAACTTGGTAGGAAAGCTTCCCTTATTGTCTCTCAAGAGGTTTATGGGTTACGCACCACGATAAGGTCCAACCACTTTTGTGAATGGAAAGGAGAAATTCGCGAGTTGATTCAAATATGAGCGCTGTGTCTTGATTCTCTTCGTATATCGCATTTTTGGACGAAGTCTGTATTAGTTTCTTAACTTCATAGCTGATTTCTTCAGGCAAATGATGGGATTTAGTTTCCCAGGCCCAGATATCAATGGGTTTATTTTCAATTCCCCTGTCTAGGAGGTTAAGGGGATAGACAATTGTTTCCTGCTTACTGGGCTTCACCTTCAAATCAAATTGTAACAACCCTACCCGCTCACCCACCAGTTGTTCTTACAAAAGTTTTCTCAGAGTCCAGTCTCTACAGTATCATTTTTATTGCGTTGAATTTCTCATGTTACATTTACTCTCTGTGCCATTCTACTGATTCACCTTGATATTCACTGTTCGATTTCTCACAGGTGTTCTCCAAAGATGGTGTGCAAATAAACCTTTTGACGCCACCAATCGTTCGAACTGAAAACGCCCCTTCGATGGGTCGAACAACCATGCCTACTCCGCGCGCTGTTTCCGAAGTTACTTACTTTGAACGCTCACCTGTAGGAAGTACATTAACCTTGAATACCGGCTCCAGTCGGGACGCCCGCTTCAGTCTCAATACTGGACCACTTGGAGTGGATCGGTGCAGTTTGTCCGGGCTACCACCGGCCCAGTCCAATACAGCATTTTCTCCTCGTGGTCAGTTTGGTGGTGTGTTTGCTGCTCGGCCGCCCGTATCGGAGGACGACTTCCCTTCAGATCGCCTCGGCATTTGTCTTTTAGCCAGCTATTCGGACCGAAGGAGGTCAGGTGTGGTCGTTTGGCCACAGAGTGCATGGTGCAGTGTTCGGAACGAGTCGTCTTCCCCCAGGTCTCAGCGTTCCGTCCAATCGTCGGCCTCTCCCAACCCCAATTTGTCCGATCGGCAGTCCTGTGACTCCCCAAATTGTGTCGACTTTCCACGCCCCGTCGACTGTTGTCCCCCATACCTAATTGAAGCCGAACCTGGTCTGCGACGTCTTGCCGGTCTGGTAGCTCTGGCCGACAGCCGACAGTTGGTTGTAGTGGACCAGGGTGCTCAGTCCTTGTGTCGTTTGCGCTATGCCTAGTCATGGATGTTACTACCCCATAAATCGTTCTCAGTAGCACTATACCAAAGCGTAATCATCTGGTCCCAGCCATAGATCAATCCCATATATCTGCGAGTGATCACAGGCCATTTACTCCAGGGAGATTCCCTCCGGTGTCTATACGCGTTTCTCAAGTTTTCTTTCCTGTTACATCTTTCCCGAAGGGCTCACTACGCTGGTGATGCCAGACTTTCCTGCAGTCCAACCGCTGCCTCGTCTGTGATGATCTCTTAGGGGGTTTCGTCCGTGCGCTCCGTCCCCCCCTCAGTAACTGGTAGCTCACTGCGCACACTCCTCTCACGCAGAGCCTTTTTTCGTATGAATTTTTGCAGATTGTAACATGCCTCCAGACACTCTTCCTATGTCACGATTTTAGAAAGAAAAACAGTCTACAAAGGGCGCTTTACTCGCCTTTTACCTTGCACAAAACAACGAAATTACCATAGGTACACAATTGTGTTAGTTCAACCGGGTCGAACCCCGCAGTTTGTTTGTTTGCGATTGTGTTTTTGCGTCCTTTCCTATCCTATTTTGTTTTCACTACTGACTTGATTCATCTACTGCACCTACGGTCATCGCGCATTTCCATATGTTCACCTATCTGTCTGGATCTGTCTAATCCCTTTCCAACTATACTGCACTAGTGGGAATGCATTAGTTTCGTTCCTCTGCTACTCACAAATGAATGTGGTGTTCCGCATTCGTTGATAAAATCATTCGGTTTTAGCATGCTGACTGACAGGAGTGTTCTACTCATTAATGGACTGACCAAATTTCCGGAACTTTCCGTTGCGTTATTTGACGAGTTCGCTGGCGTGTTCAGTGCTCGCGAGTATGGAATCTATCGTTTTTTTCCAGATTTTGCAAATACAGTTTAGTAGAGATCGAAATAGATTGCTTGATGAGGTTATCATCTGTCTGTCTGATTCCCTAAATACCTTTTTTGTTCGGGTTGGTCAAGCGGATACGATCGTTTCAACGATTCGGGTTCGAAACGCACACGGGTGCCTTCAAACGAGCTACCAGTAATCATCCTGGTAGTCTGTACGCATATTGTCTCAGGAGTGATGACACAAAAATAAACTTGCTCACTTTAGGCTTTCATTGTTGCCTGGCACTTCCACTGAGTTTGATGCTTCCTCTCCGTCCTCTTAAGAGAACAACAGTGTACGAAACAAGTTTCCGTTGCCAATAATTCCTTCATCTTGTCAGTTGTCCGTACAACAGGAAAACATCTCAGTCGATGGCAAAATTCGCATCCTTTAGAGTGCTGAGTAGTTCAGTGGTTGCTGGCGAGTAAATAGACCCACCCCATACAGCTGCTGATGTAAATAGGGACACGTTCAGAATGGTATTTGATTCTGCTCACACGTTTAACTGGCTGGAAGCTTTTGGATGGAAATTTTGTACTGAGGCTCAAAGATAGGTAAAGGAACAACGTTTATTGTGATGATTAGTTTAATCTTGCATTTGGCTATTTGCAGTCTCCTTTAATTGCTTGTCCCTTGGGTAGAATCGTTTGCAACATAAATGCCGGTTGTACCCCGCCTAGGAAGCTAATCGCCGAGACTATCACTCCTGTTTTTCATGAATCAGTCAACATTGCATTCTATTAATAGATGGCTTGTGTAAGCTGTCTGAGTCTTGTTGAGAAGAATCACACAGTAACGTGTGATAATCATTGCTGTGGCACTCGTTATGATTGCCACTACGGCAAACCCATCCAGTTGGAACCATTTCCTCGAGAGTATAATTTCGGCGCAAGAAATTTTTCCATTGGGACCTACCTTCTAGGAAGCAAACACCCCATGGCTGGCGAGACAATTTATTGTTCCATTAGCATCTGATTATTCCCAAGAAGAAATACTACTGTGCGTAATTCATAAAAAGCGGGTAATTCTACCTGCGAGCTACTGCTGCTGATGTTAACCTGGCCAAAAAGCCTCGTTGGCTTAGTGGTTGAGTTTTCGGATTACCGTGTTCTTCAAGGCTCACCAATAAATCGGCAAACAATTACTCTGTCAGCCACAAGCTTTACGTACTGCGATAAATTGGGATGCGAACCCGTCTGGACAAGTGGGCTATATTCTCTTCGGTGATAGCGTAATGCAAGGACCATCTGGGGTCGAGATGGCCCGAGTGGTCCGTCGTTCGAACCCGACCTCTGCCTCTTGACTTGCCTTGTCTAGGCTTGGGCAACCTGGCAGTATCCCAGCCTCCGTGCAACCTTCGGGTGGCATGGCAGTTAGGCACCGACAGAGTGTTACAGCAAGGACCATCCCCACGTGTGTGAGAGCTTATATCCCGTTTTCTCAAAGGACTCGCTATACAGAAAAGTGGTCCCAAAAACTTGGAGAATTCCTCCGCCCGAAGTTCGATTATAACCGCCGAACATAGGAGCAGGCTGTGGTTCGTTCTGGGGAAGCAATCCATTGCGCGTTTCGTCCTTATTTGGAGCTGATAACTGCATATATCAGTATCGATTCCGTGTCCTCTTGGCTGATAGTTTTAACCAACACTCTGCTGCCAACCTCACAAGCGTGGAGATTGTGGATTAAATCAATTTCTTGGTTTAGTCCATGCAATGAGTTTGTTTCGGAACTTGATTTTTTTAGGCCAGTCAAATCCTATCCCTCACTTTTTTCAGGGTCCTCATTGTGGACCTGATAAACAAAAAGCCAATGAGACTGTATTTCAGTGACCACTTGCACCGTGACCTTACAGTTATGATCTTCATCAACCTTCTCAACAAACCACATTACGTTGGTTGAGTCAGAAGATCGATTAGATGGCCTTCAAGTGTTCGATTGATGCGCTTAAATTATTAATGTTTTAGTTCCATTCCAAATGTGGCAGGCAAAACGAATAGTCTGAAGAATGGGAAGGGTTCTACAAAGCAACATTCTGATTTGATCGGAATGATTGCTCACATTTGTTCACAGTATGTATCGCTCGTGAACCTTGAGCGACCTTACACGAGTCCGATTCTATCACTTTTCACTCGGGTTTCCACTGGTCCTGACTCACTGCTTCGTGTTATCTCTTAATCCAACCCCCGGTAGACGCAATCAAAACAAATAGATCTCTGGACGAACTATGTCACTCCGAGGTCCCTTGAAGGCTGTTTGACAGCCCACGACCGCTTTCCCCTTTTTAGGGCTCATCAGGTAGACGCAGGTTTCGCGTCAACTACGGTATTTCGGCTATTGTGTCAACTGAAACACGAGGGCAACATTTGTGCTGCACACATTCGTTTGAAGAATATCCTAAATGAAGGACTCAGGTTGGATTCAGTTGAGTTTTCCGGTAACACCAAGTTAATTTGCAGTTGGGCGTATTTCGCCAAGTAAATATCCAGTTATTAGTAGGGCAAATCAAACGTGATAGCACGTTTGGCGTGTCGTTATTCTTACCGTATGTCAATCGAAATATTGCATAGACGTAACACTACGCATAAGGTTGCTGACAACTCTTCGACAACCTACGACTAGTTTCGCCCATCTTGGGACTCAACAGGTAGGAGCATTCCTCCGGTTTCCTCAACCATATGTTCTACTTGGACCAAATCCGACAAATACTCCTATTTGCCTACAAATTAGGATTTCACGAGAGGCCCGCCTGAAACCTCGTCGTTGATGTTTTTCAACTGAATTTGCTGTACAAAGCCATCTTGTTTTTTGTTGTCGCGATATTCGAGCTATCGTGGCATGTAATGTATCTCTCAGGTATCGCGAGGCATTAGGCTCCTGGTGCAGCATAGACGAGAGTTTCAGTTAAGTTTCATTCGAGTCCCCCTTGAAAACCAAGTTGGTACGATGTGTGCATTCTTCGGATTAAGCAAAACATGTTCGTGCCGATTTGATTGATTTAAATGCTGATGATCTTGTGATGTGTCTGACCAAGCTACGATACATCAGTCATTTGTTTGGTACCGTCAACTTTGAATGATTTCCCCAGTGGTTCGCTGATCGTCGTTTGTTTCTTCTCGCCGGTCCGCACATGTCTACATCGGGTAAACGAGTACCAGCAGGGGACAAAAGACATGCATCCAGTTAGCTTAGTGATGGAACGCTACGATTCAGGGTGGTCGCTCCTACGTAACCCCGTCCAAGTAGTAGAACTCATCTACGCGTTGCTTCACTTTCACCTAGGCTGACACACCACTGGTGTGTCAACTCACCACCTAGGAAAAGCCCCTGCAATATGATGATCTCTGTGCGCTACATAGTTTCTATAAATTCACAGGGGACCACACAACGCTGTGCCTATAGAACGACGCTGCCCCTAAAGAAAACACATCCGAAACGTGAATTTACGTTCAGACCTACAAGGATTTTTTTATACGTCTGGGAGTCAGCCGTAGTGTATAAATCCTCAAACTGTCTTGATGGTGATATCATCGAGTTAACTCGAGTTATCCTAGGAGATGGAGACTCATCGCTTAGGTTTAACACCCCTTCTTGATATCGAGGCCTCTCGCTCAGTTGTTAGGACACCCGAAGGATGTAGTGCAGAGGCACAGTACATGCTCATGGGACAAACCAACGGCTGCTTTGGCTTTTAAACAACTGTCACGCTTTGCGAACGCACTAACGGTCATGTGGTCAAGAGCTAGTACAAGCATCGATATTCTGACACTGTTGAGGCCCCACTTCTCGAACGCACCAAGTCTCACTCGATGACCTTGCATGATACACCATTACAATCAGCGGTGAAAAACTTGGTGCCAAGTTTGGAGACCCCAGTAAGGAGCGCAAAGATCGAATGGGCTGCAGTGCTCTCTTGGTAAAGGGAATATCCACGGGACTGAACAAGAATACTCTTGTGGTGGCTTATCCGTAAGGGTGGATTCTGTCTTTAAAAAAAACTTACTGAGACGTTTTCATCAATTTACCCAGACGTATTTTCCTCGTAGTCTAATCTTTTCCGAACACTATCGCTCCTCGTTTCTTCACCTAGTCCGATTTGTCTAGAAGAATTGAGTCATGTGTCACAATGGCTGCTTCTGTACTGATATAGTTCTGATAGGATCGGATTACTTTTGACGGGATCTCCAATCCCTCTGTTGCTTTAATCCAACGCACAGTTGTCATCCACAATACAAGCCGAAGGATACGCGTTGACTCATTATTGTGGCATGTCTACTCAGCACACTTTCTCCTGCGCGTTGGAACACTCATACTTGTCAGTGAATGTTTATTTGTGGCCGAGTGGCTCAAGGTCGTTCTCCCGTAGTCAAACCTTCACCAACTACTTGATACTTGGCAACAATTACTCCGCTAACACAGTGTTCGATGAACAGTCTCATAGGCAACAAAACAATTTTGGAGTGATGCGGTATTGGACTTAAAAGAATTGCTAATTCATCCCTAATATGATAGGAGGTATTATCGACAAGGCGTTCACTGTATTAGGAAAGATTGGATGCGCCTCGATAAAACTTTGTTGGAGGTACCACCTAGTGGTCTTTGCCGACCACTCCATGCAGTCCTTGCATGCTTTGATTTGTGAACAGACATTATGCTGTACGGGAACTCTGAAAAATGAAAAATTCGGGACCAAAGAAGGGAATAAATATCTCCAGAGTATAACCGTTAAGGCTACATAAACGTGTAC